GTCTTGTTCTGGTTCTCGTTCTCTCCTCCCTTCTCGCTCCCATCTCCTCCGCACCTCCCAAGTGTTCCCTTCCCTCCGCATATCCCGCCTCCCCGTTTCTCCCCTTCCCCCCTCCTTCCCTCCCCCATCAAACAGGGGATGTTGTGTTTCGGCTGGCTCATTGCGCGCTTCTGTTAACAAGAACTATTGCAGTAACCGCCATGGTGGCGAACAGTGTGGTCGGACAGACGGAGGCATGTTGATAACGATGAAAAAAGACAGCGGGGATGGCAACGATCCAGGTGTCCCGAAATTGTGCTATGCAAGGTAATCGCCTTTGCGCATGGCGGGAAACCCGCGGAGACCCGCGAAAACCGCAACGAATCCGGCGGAAACCGATCGGTTCGTCGGAAAACACGAGCAACAATCACGATTCTGACGCCAGTTCGCAGAGACACGCAATAGAAACACAATGGAAATCGCGGGTAACCTATAAAAAGCTGGGTCGGAACCCTTTCACTGTTGAAAAACACCTTGGAAACACAGCCTGCATGTTTGTCCACGCCACCGAATCAATCTATACCGTTGAATCAAAACATTGTACCCCCACTTCCAGGGAGCCTGCGATTTCGCCTGCCACGCCCGCGCGGCATCCCAGAATTTCAGAAGGGCGGCTCGCCTGTTCCATCCCACCACCGCTGAACTACTGGCGGCTGCCGCCATCCGCCATCCCCACCGCCGTCGTCATCACCGCCAGCGACCTCGACATTCATCATCGTGGACATCGTCAGCGCCGCTGAAAGTAGATGGCGTCGCCACAGTCACCCTCGCGCTCCATATCCTCGTCGCCGTGGTCGTCAATGGCCATCGCCATCGTCGCGGTCTTCGTCGTCGGTTTCCTCGAGCCAGCAAAAAGCATGTTCGGGCCAGGCTTGCAATGGTTCCCCATCCTCCCATGCGTTTGCGTACCTGGTGAACGGCCAAACGAAAATCGAAAGCAGAAACTGTGTGATGGGGGGCGCCCCAGCGCGAGGACGTCCCTGGCCCTAGCACAGGCCCCTCCGCCTCCTCCGCCCTCATCGCGCCCCTCCCCCATCGAGCCCCACGGGCTCCATGCAGACAGCAGGCGGCGCAGCCCCCCGGCCCCCCCCCAGATCCTCGTTTTCGCCCGTCCCCCACCCTCCCCCCTCTGTTAACCGCCCCCTCCCCCCTCCCCATCATCGGCGAGACTGAAGGGGCCCCAGGACACACAAATAAATACACACAAATAGAAAGATTCACCATGTTTTCCCATATTTTCTGGGTTTTGTCTTCCCCCCCACTTCCCATATTTTCCCATATTTTCTGGGGAATCGACGATTAATTGTGTCTGTGTGTTTCTTTTCCTCCTGAGAGACGGCCGACGAATACCCGCTCGCCCAAGGACGCGCCGGGCGGAGCTCGGAGAGCCCCCCGGCGGGGACGGCTCGCGTGCGACATCTTGCGACAACACTCGGTTCTCAACATGTTCACCGAGAGCGACCAGGCAGGCCCCCCGCGCGCGCATGCCGAACTCATTCGGACGCGTTTGCTCGCTTGCGGGGGGGGGGGGGCGCGATCCCTGTCAAATAACTCCTTGCGGGCCACTCGCGCCCGTCGGCCGCGCGCCCAGGTCGAAATCATTCCGGGAACTTCATCGCCAACCCGTGGATACCATCATCGTCATTGGCGTGATCAGCATCGGCGCTGTCATTGGCCTCGCCGTCGTCATCGTCATCATCGTCGCCGATACCATTACTATCTCACGTGTCTGACGTTGTCGAGGACGCCATGATACCGCACCCATCCGATTCACCAGCTAGCACTGAAATGCCCGCGCGTCAGCGAAGCCTGAGAGACGCGCTGGGTCCCCAGCGGTCAGCGACACCGCGGCCGCCTCGGTCGAGCCAGACTAGCTGGCCGCTGCGCGCGCGAGCCTGCGCGCGCAAGCGCGGCGGCAGCGATGCGCCAGCAAGTGCCAACCAGTCATTGCAATCGCCGCCGCACGGGTTTTGCAAAACCAAGTTGCGGGTGGGTGGGTGGGTGGCTAGATTGCACCTCGTAGATTGCACCTTTCAGTATGGTAAAACACACTGTTTAGGGGTCCACGCTGGATAACATTTCACTCTTGTCCGTAGTAAATAGTTGGTCGTAGCAAGAATGATATTCATATTTCCCATGTAGTCAGGGCCAGGGCCAAGGAGGCCGAAAACGGCGGCGAGAAACCTCTGAACTGACATGTCCAGGACGCTAGATGTCTGGTGCGGCGGCCACGGTGGCGACGGCGGCGACGCAGGAGGGGCGCGGGCGGCCGCTGAGATGCGCCCCGCCCCAGCCCCACATGGCGGGGCCGCGCCGCCAGTGGCCACCTCGGCCCGCGCCAGCCGCCCCACGGCACGCGCCGCGGCGGCGCCGCCGTGCATGGGGCGGCGCCCGGCGGCTGGACCCGGGGGCGGGGGGCTCGGGCTGAGCTGGGAGGGCGCGCGAACAAACGAGCCACTGCACCACCATGCAAGGTGCTCAGATAGATGAGAACTTTGGTCCGTGCAGGAAGGTGGCGCTCTCCTGCCGTGCACCATCCCACGCAGAAATGGTCCGCCCTGCCACTTTCTTGCTACCTCCCTGCGCGCTGCCGAAGTGCCCGCTACTGGCTACCCGCCGAGGTGGCGCTGAGAGCTAAGGAAGCTGCCGTCGCTGGGAAGGGCGGGTGGGGTGGGGGGGTGGACGCGCCAATGGCACGCGGGGGCCTTCTGCGAGGGCCACCGGGTGCGGGACTGCGCTGGTCCGTGCGAGGCATGCTGCAAACGCCTCCTTCTCGAGTCTCGCATGTGCCGTGCACTGGCAGATGAGGGGGAGGATGCTGCTGACGCTTCTGCTCTCCAGCCTTTTATATTGTCTCACACTGGCCCCGGCACCTGACCTCACGGGAATCCCAAGGTGTGACGCGCGAGCTCACTGGGCCTTAGACTGCATTTCAGGCCTGCCGTTTTGCTCCCAATCGCTGGCATGATATTCGTCAAGTGTGTGAGTGGGTGCGCTTACGAGTCTGCAGAATTGTTCCTGGCACTGGGGACGAGTCAGGCCGAGAGATGCACGGAGCGCGAATCCAAGACGCTCTCCTCGCCTCCTTGTCTTACCCCGTTAGTTCAATATGTTCGGCATCTCAAACGTTCATTCCTGTTTCCCTCCAGATTCCGTGCATGAACCTGCTGTCTCTTGCTTGCCTTGGCTTCATTCCCACAAGCTGCCAGACAAACCTGTGGCATTAGAGCCCGTCTGTCTTGTGAGGGTCTGTGGCAGGAATTCACTCGTCCGATCGTGATCTTTCTCTTCTCGCCTCGTCCTATCCATCGTGAGGCGTGGGAGGAACAGCAAGGGAAAAAGGGGGACGGGAACAATGACACCTAGGAGAGGTGAGGGAGAAAGTTGAGGAACAAGAGAGGCGGTATATTGAACACGAGCATGAATAGAAGGGGAAAGGAAGAAGAGGAGGAAAATGAGCGGGGGAGGGAGAATGGAGGAGAGAGTAGGGGGCAAGGATCATAACAAGGTACAATATGGTCATGATCGGAGGAGGGTGACAATCAGAAAGAACCCATGGAGGAGGAGAAAGGAAAAGAGAACGAGAAGCGAAGAGGAGGAGAGAGCCATGGAGACGCTGAGGCCGCTGAGAGCCCTGGAGACGCTCGGGAGGAAGAGAGCAAGAGGCAGATCTTGAGAAAGGAGAACGGGCAGGGAGGAGAACGGAGGACGTAAAGTGGTACGGCTTTGGGGTGCTTGACCATCGTGGTGGGCCCGATGCCATGGTGGCACCAGCTTGAAGGCACTGTGGCCGCGAGCGCCCATCGGGCTTGAAACTCAAGGTCAAGAGAACCTTCTGGTGCAACGAAGGAGGAGGAGCAGAAGAAGAAGGTTGAAGAAACATACTTCCTCAAGCTGCTGCTTGCAGATAGCTTTCAAGACGCCGTGGCGCCTCCCCAAACCCACGCTGCTTGCACCGTCGGTTGCTGCGCGGTTTGCTTGGCGGTTGCTTGGCGGTTGGCTTGCGATTGTCGTTACTGCGCGGTTGGCTTGGTTCCGAGGAAGTCGCCGTCCACTTGCACGTTCGCTCCGCCAAGGATCCAACCAGGATTGCTAACGTCAGCGTCGACGTTGATCGTGGGCATCAGTGCACGGATGGGGGAGGCTCCGAAGCTGCGTTTTGGCTTCAGACGCGGGGATCCCTCACGGCAGCTGTTGCTCTTGCGACCCTTCCAGACGAAGAGGCAGAAGACCATGAAACCGCAAGTCTTCTTGGCGGGCCTGCAAGGCTCCCTGACGAAACGCCCGACAGAGGACGCGGCCGACTAGCAATTGTCCAGGCCTTGATGCAGCCGCTCGCGACCTCCACAGAGCATGTCCTGTCGGTCCCAGCGGTGCTGGTCGCACTCCTCGACCAGTGCGGGGACTACAACTGCGCTGTATGCAGTCAGCATCCAAGTGACTTGAAGTGGCACGAGTGGGAGTATCTGCTGCTGGACAAGGCCGTACTCCTCCTCAAGCAGTGCTATACCCAGCAGGCGGAACAGCAACACCATCCCCAAGCCACGGTCTCCTTCGATGCGCTGACGAGCGCCATCTCAGACTTCGCTACGATTGCCTGGCCTGGCACCGCCTTCGTCGCGGGGTTCTGGGCGACGGCATCACAGATGAGTACTCCACGCGGAGCATTGTCGTGCAAAAACTGTCTTGCCAAGTGTGCAGACGCCATTCTAGCCGTTCTGCGTATCATACGTTCTTCAAATTCGATGACATGGTACAGCAGACTGTTTCCAAAAACTTTCAGCACGCTAAGAGAACATGGCAACTTGCCGTCCAGCTGGACCCGTCGAGCGACATGCTGGGAGAGGTGGGGAGACGCCGATCGCCCTGCAGCCTCTGGCACTATTCCCGGTGATGGGCCGTGCTGAATGCGCCGTGCTGCATGGCCCGACGCCCGGCTGCCCGGGGGACATGCTGCTGGGCTAGGCTGGACACGCTATTTCGTCGCATTGCTGGGCCTGGCTCGTCGGCCGCGGGTGTGTGGCACCTGTCGGAGGGCGGGTGAGACCCCTGCGAATGCTCCGCCCCCCCACCCCTGCGGCGACCCCCGCCTCTCTGCCTCTCCCTCTCCCTTTCCCTGTCTCTCTCGCTCTCTCTCTCTCTTTCTCTCTCTCTCTCTCTCTCTCCCTCTCTTTTCCACACTTTCAGTGTGGGGGTCTTGTGTTCTCTGCACACACCCCGCGCACTATCTCCTACTCCTCCTCCTTCTCCTCCTCTTCCTCCTCCCCTCTCTTTTCCACACGCACACACTCACACGCCCACGCACTTATCAGCACCATCATCAGCATCATCATCACCACCACCATCATCATCAGCAGCATGATCAGCAGCATCATCAGCACCAATATCAGCACCATCATCAATATCACCATCATCTGCATCATCATTGTCGTCATCATCATCAGCAGCATCATCCTCATCTTCATCCTCATCAGCATGATCATCATCCTTGTCATCATCATCGTCACTATCAACATCATGATCATCATCATCAGCATCATCATCGTCACCATCTTTCTTTCGGACTTACACACGCACACTCACGAACTCACTTACTTATGCCAACACGCGAATTGATTATCACAACTCATGGTGAGCATCACTCACCATCACCATACACAATCACACACTCAAGTAGCTTACCTTGAGGGAACTGTCGAGCGGGAGCCCCCTCCCTATGGGGCCTGCATTTTACGTTGGCAATCCGAGCGGGTCATCGGCAAACTCTACCAGGCACAACACTTGAGCACCCCAGTGGAGCAAATCGTGAGGGTGGCTCAAGCGGGGGCTCCGTTTGTGAGCGAATTGGAAGGAAGTCTCGAGCGGGAGCCCCCCTCCTTCTGGGCCCCGCACTTCGTGTTGGCAATCCGAGCGGGCCATCGGCAAACTCTACCAGTCGTCGCACTTGGAGCACCCCAAGGGGGCCATCGTGAGGATGTCACACACCCTGCGAAATGCTTTCGAAATCATGGTTTAAGAAATTCAGAGTCTCAGAACTTGAATAAAACCCAGAACTTCTATCAAAATCTTGGGATTTACATTGAAAAGTTAAGAATAATCGAGACTCGGGCCGAACACTTACGTTTTCTTAAGCATCGCCTAAGGTGTAGGCCCCCTCGCTATGGGGCTCGCACTTCATGCTTGTAATCTGGGCGTCGTGTGCACGACCTGCGGGGCCTGCGGCGCGGCGGCCACCCTCGGCACCCTCCAAGGCGAGAAGAGGTTTGCTCTTCGCCCTTCGCCGATTGCCAGGGCGGCAGGGCGGCGGAGACCAGGGAGCAGAGGAGGAGGCTCGCCGATAGGCTCCACCCGCGCCCGTGCAGGAGGTGACTACCTACCAGACCACCCCAACCCAACCCGAAGACCCGAATTTGACCCGAATTTCGGGTTGGGGGGGGTACGGATACCATGCGTTTTTTCAACGTTCCCCGACCCCCCCCCACTGGAAATCGAGGATAAATTTGGGCCTTCGGGTTGGGTTGGGGTGGTTTGGTGGGTGGTGAGGAGGGAAGCCACGGTGGCCGTGCACGGAGGGGTGGGGCCGGAGGTGAGACGCGCGTGAGAGGCGGCCGGCGGCGAGCCAGCCGGAGGAGGTGCCAGGAACACCGAGGGCGGCCAGGAGCGAGGAGGCGATGCAGCGGCGCCCGGGCACGGAGTGAGGCCCCGCCTCCTCGACTGCTTCAGCACATGGAAGGCCTACGGCATGAACGCCGACGGCATCGTCGAGCATGGGAGGCTTGCGTGGCTGAAGGAGGCCGAGGCGGCTGCGGAGGAGGCTGAAGAAGAGGCCGCCCGCGGGCGCGAGGAGGGGCCGCGCTCGCGGGGCGGCCAGGGCGCGAGGCAAGGCGCCAAGCGAAGCGCCGCGGGTGCCCGTGCCAGGGAGGCTGCGAGTGAGACGGCCGAGGGGGAGCGGCTAGCGGCCGCGCGCGAGCACGCGGCGTCCTCCAACCGTGTCCGCCCCCGCTAGAGCCCCCACGGACATGGAGTGCTCGCGGCCTCCTCCCAACCGTCCCCACCGTCGTCGTCGTCGTCGTCGTCGTCGTCGTCGTCGTCGTCGTCGTCGTCGTCGTCGTCCGTCACCCGCCGCCCCTCCCCCCCCCTTCCCCGCGGGGCCCAACCCCCCCCCGGACTCCAAGAAGGGGAGAAAAGCGGAAATTCGTGCGTACAAGATCATGCGGAAAGGTATTACGTGGCCCTCCGCAGTCGCGGATAAGAGTGATGGGGGCGGGGGGACGTCTGCAGTCTGCGAGGCTACAAATTCTACAACGAGCCCGCCGCAGGCGCTGATTTTTCGTTACATCAATGTGGGTGGGTCGCGGGGTGGGTCGCGGGTGGATCGCGGTGTGAGTCGCGGGTGGAACGCGGGTGGGTCGCGGGCGGGTCGCGGGGTGGGTCCTGGGTGGGTCGCGGGTGTGTCGCGGGCGGGTCGCGGGGTGGGTCGCGGGTGAATCGCGGGGGGGACGACGCCAAACAACAACAAACAAAGCCCAACAGCAACAACAACAACAGCAGCAGTAACAACAACAACAACAACAACAACAACAACAACAACAACAACAACAACAACAACAATCAGTTTAAGACTGTTCGATCCTATAAGCTCACGTGCCAATCAATACGTATAGATCAAAACTTCGGTGCCCGCCATCGTCGACTTCGATCGTACCCCCTTGCGGTATACCTTCATTACCTGCCACGTGCATTTAGTGCAGCCCCTAAAAACAGGGAAGAGAGAACGGGTGGGAGGGGAGGGAGAAGAATGGAGCACGAGAGACATTAGCAGGAGGGGGGCAAGGAGCAGAAAACAAATGGTAGAACCAGACAGGCAAATCGGTCGGGAAGGCGGGCCCAGGCGACGAGGTCGAGCAGGCGGGTTACTAAAGCGTAGGTCCTGCGTGAATCGCGAGGAAGTCTCGAGCGATAGCGCGATTCCCAAGTAAATCGTGAGAAAAGCCAAAGCGAGAGCGTGATTCCTGAGCACCGAGGGCGCATCGTCTGAATAAATTGCGAGGAAGTCCCGTGCGAGAGCGCGACGCGTACATAAATTGTGAGGACCCGCGCGAGAGCGCGATTTGGAAATACATTGTGAGAAAATATCCGGCGGGAGCCGCTGTTGTTGTAAAACGGGGGCCAGGGGCCCAATTTAAGCCTAATTACGTTCCCTGCTAAATAACCGGGTGCGAGCCCCGGGGGAAGCACTTCAATTGACAAAACACAATGGTTACCGGAGGGGGGATCACCAATGACTGTTCTTCAGTAGTGAGAATTCAACAGAAACAACAACAGTTACAACAACAGCAACACCAACACCAACAACAGCAACAACAACAACCACAACAACAGCAGCGGCAGCAGCACCTGCAGCAGCAGCAACACCACCACCAGCAGCAACAAGAAGAAGAACAATCCCACTTTAGCCACGCAGCCAGGGACAATGAATGCCCGTTCGGACCACTCACTCTGACGAGTGTCAAGCGAAAAGCACTAGTAACTGCCGGGTCTAGAGGATGTATCGGGCGCCGCGGCTGTTCGAGAGCGCTCCCAAGACAGTATAAGAGCGGCTGTATCGCTCCCACCTCTGCAATTTCGGAACGAACGAACGAGCGACCACCAATGCGCAAAGCAGTCTGGGCCTACTTGAGACCAGGTGAGTGAGGCCGTGGCCTCCAACATACTACTGTGTACGGTGAGGCATGCATGCGAAACATATAACAATTTATGTGAAACGGAAGGAGGGGGAGGAGGTGGAGGAATCCTTGTTCTTGGAGTCGTCGGTGGTGCTGCGTCGTTGGGTGGGCGTGTCGTCGTAACGATTGCTCTATGTTGGCCTGTGTTGGTGCCAGGCCGTGTGTATTGTGTGATTGGTTTGGTATTGTCTGCGATTGGTGTTGGTGTTGGTAGAGGGTATCCATGTCGACGTGGAGGCTGGAGATCAAAGTGTTGAGCTGGTGGAAGCTGGAGGTCAGTGGGTGCAGGTGGAAGTGGAGCTCGGGTGCCGGATGATGGAGGTCAGAGTGCTGAGCTGGTCGAGGTTGGAGGTCGACAGTCCGAGGTGGAACTGCAAGGTCGGTTGCCGGATGCTGGAGGTCGGAGTGCTGAGCTGTGCTTGCTGAGTGCAGTTTCGGAACGTACGGGGGGCTATACATGTTCATCCTAGGCCTGTCTAATCTCCTCCCCCCGTGCAACGTTCAAATTCCGCACGTTGGCGGGTCATATGAGCTTCCGCTCCAAGAATCTGGCTCTGTCTACCGAGCTTCTCTGTTGGCCGCTCAGGCCCCCCTTGCTCGGCCTCCCCTGGATCCGTTTGTGTTGCCGCCTCACTGGCCCTCTCGGCCACACTTTCTTTCCGACGACTGCCTGTATCCCTACGACTTGGCCTCCTAGAAATCCCCAGCTTCCCGCCACACTGCCCCTGTCTATCGCACTCCATCTGGAGGCCGCTTGGGTCCCTGCAGCTTGGCCTCCTATGGTTCCCTGACTTTCCACTCTACTGACCCCGTGTGACGCACTATCTCTGGAGGCTGCTTGGATACCTACGGCTTGACCTCCTGTAGATCCCAGTGGCGTCCCGCCCTATGTAGTGGCCCTGTGTGCAGCACTCTCCTTAGGGGCTCCTTGGATCTCCTCCCATGGACCCCAATGGCTTCTCGCCCCCTGGCCCTCGGGGCTGCAAGGATCCCTTCGGCTTGGCTCTCACTAGACGGGTCTACACGCCCCCCATCTGCCTCCAACCCTCCCACCTCCTCCTTTCCTCTCTTCCCGTCCCGACGCCCCCTCTCCACTGCTTTCTCTTCCATCCCCTCCCCTCACTTCCCGCCTCTCTCCTCCCATAGCTCTCCGCGCAACTGCGCTCCTCCCATTCCGCCCCCCTCCTTTGGCCCCTCCCTTTTTCCGCTCATATAACTCTCTGCGCTGCGGGACAACTCGGCGTCTAAGCACACTCGGGAACATCCCGATAATTGAACGGCGAGGAACAGTGTAATATGTGGGACAGCATTGCGACCTTGGGCGGTGGATTATGGATGCTGGCAGCCCAAAACACCACGCAGCAAGGAGAACGCTTGCGCGCTGCCTTACGCGGGCAACGTACATGCGAATGTTGGCGCAATCGATCCACTTGTTTGAACGCCACTATACAGTCGCAGTGCTACCATAACGAACAACACATAGGGAAGGAAGGGGCTGCTTCTGGCAATGGCGAGCCTCAATCCCGAATTCTTTTTTTTATTTCAGCGCCTGGACTGCAATGGTATCTGAGAGCACACGCCATGATGCCATAATGAGCATGTGCTGGTCCTCATCCCTCCTCCCCTTCCTCTCCTTCCCCCTATTACTGAGCAGTCACTGCCAATGTGATAAAGATGAATGGTCGATTTCGCCCTCTTCTGGCGCCCGCTGAGCCCCCCCCTCTATCTCAATCTCTCTCCCCTCTCTCACGGTCTCAATCACAGCGCGGGGGCTGAAATCGGGCCGCTTCGGCCGCAGCGTGGGCTTAGAAGCTGGCCCCTCCCTGCCGACCACGGTGTTGGCGACGCCCCTCTAAATCGACCACCAAGACCTCGGCTGGAACGCACCTTCGATCAAAATTCCGAATCCGGCCGCAGCGACGAGGGTTATCCCGGAGGCCCAGAGAGGACGTAAAGACGTGCAGACGAGCGAGGACGTGGAAGATAAATCCGCTGCCAACTCGGCCCGCCCCCCGAGGGGACTAAGACGGATACCGGCACCACTAACCCGGAGAAGCAATTAAGGAACCCCCCGGCGTTATCATTAGCACCGCGCCGTAATTAAATAATTATTTGGGGGGGTTTTCGCCGAGTGATATTATTAGCACCGCGCAAATGGAAGGAAAATAAATAATTCCAGCGCCCCGCCTCGGGTGGCATCCCAATTAGAATTGTAATGAAAATAAGAATACGAATAGAGACGCTTCCGGGTGCCAGGATAACGCTTCCGGGTGCCGGGTGCGTTATCCTTTCACCGGAGAGGGGGGGGGGGGGGGTCCTTAATCGCTTACTCGGGTATCCCCTGGACTTCTCCCACTCGGATTCCGAGGCGAATCCGTAGGCACCACAGGAAGCCCAGAGAGGCGAGAACGAGGGAAGCGCCTGGTCTTCAAGTCCCTGGGCCCAGGGCCCCGGACCTCTCAACCCCTTCCCCGCAAGGGCTGGCCTTGTCATCCCGAACCCGAACCGTTTCTGAAGGCCCAGGAGCCCGCGACCGACCTCTGGACGCCAGAAGCCTCTGAGAGCCTCCGGCAACCTCCGAAGACTTTCTCGAACACCGTCGACGACCTCCCAAAAAACCTTCGAAGATCGCCGAACATCGCGGACCGCCGGCACTGCAGGTCGCCAGCATCCCCGCCGGCGCGGCCCGCCCCCGGCGCGGCTCCCGAGTCGGCCTACAACCGCCCGCGAGGCACCGCTGCAGCGGGTCCGTGGCCCACTGCGCCGCCTGCAGCCACGAGCCCTCCGGCGCAGCGACCTCGGCGGCGAGGTCGTCGTCGCACGAGTGGGGGGCCAAAAAAGAGCAGCAGGAATGGCAGGAAGGAGCACCAGGCCCTTCGTTCAGAAAGCGAAGGAGGAGCATGGCTTGACGGGCTCCTGTCGGCGGCGTGTCATTGATACTCTGTTTCCCCTCCAGAGGGTGGCCCCCCGCCGCCGTGGCCGCCGCCGCCGCCAGGCCTCAGGGGGCCTCTGCGAGTGACCAGAGGGCCCTGCTAGGCCTTCGCGAGGCTGCCCGCGTCGGGGCCGATCTGTCTGGGCATTTGTTTGCCCTCTCTGGGCCCTCGCCCTCCCGCTCGTCGTCGTCGTCGTCGTCGTCGTCGTCGTCGTCGTCGTCATCGTCGTCGTCGTCGTCGTCGTCGTCGTCGTCGTCGTCGTCGTCGTCGTCGTCGTCTTCGTCGTCGTCGTCGTCGTCGTCGTCGTCCACCGCCGCAACCGCCGCCGCCGCCGCCGTCGAGCCGAGCCGAGGCCGCGGCATGCTCCGTGAAGACGTAGCGGCCGCCGGGCCGAGGCACTCGGCGGATCTGCGAGACGGTCGCGAGGACGCTGTCGACGGAACACATCACCTCGGCGGGCCCTCCAGAAGACCTCGAGATCCTGAATCGGTGTACGCCCTGGATCGCACGTCCTCTGGCAGCTTCGGGGAAGATCCGATGCTTCTGACTGCTCCTCTGGCTTCTTGGGCCTGGAGGGGCTCTCGCCGATATCCTGGTCTCAACGAGCCCCAATCAGGAGGGCCGCCTGGAAATATTGGGGAAAAGCCCGGACGCCCAGCGACTCGAAACAACAAAACACGCCGGGCGTTCTTATCGCGATGCTCATTGTGAAGAGGCCGTCTCTGGCCTGTGGCCTTCAACAGAACCGAACCGAAACCCTCCACGGAGTGGCGCCCCGAAGAAGCATCGAGACTTCGCGAAATCCGCGTCCGCCACAGGAGCGGGGCACGGCAGACCTCCTCCGCCTCCTCCGCCTCCTCCTCCTCGACCTCCCCCTGCTGTCCAGTCTCGACTCCTCCTGGTGCTCTTCCGTATCCCCATCTCCTCCGCCTCTCCCTCGCCCCGCTCCCTCCGATCATCCTGGCCATTCTGCTCCAGGCCGCCCCCCGAGGCACTTCGAGTTGATGGCGCAAGCTTCAGAGAAGCATGTTGCGCTTATCGGACCACTGCCTCGGCATGCAGAACAGCAACCGTTCTTCTGGCATGGCTCCTCCCCGCCGCAGCAACGACGGGAAGGCACCGTGGCAGTCGGGCACGACGTGGCGCTGCACTCGCGGGTGCGGCAGTAACCCCTTCTCGCGGGCCAATTGCAAGCACTGCTGCGCGCACTGGTCCAAGTCCATCCCGTCGTTCGCCCCACCCCGCGGGCCTCCTGGGGCGTGGGCGCAACAGGGTCGGTTCAACTACTCAATCGGGACGCAGCTGTCTCTGGATGATCCAGCTCCTCTTCCTCCTGGGCCTGTGGACAGTGAGGCTGCCAGTGTCCATTCGCAGTTCGCCAGCCTTTCCGATGACGAGCTCAAGCAGCTCATCGCACTCGGGGAGAAGGCTGGGCAGCATGAGATGGTCAAGTGGCACAAGATGGAGCTCGGCCGCCGCCAGCAGTAACCCCCACCTGCTCAATATCGAGCTGATGATTCGTTTCGTCGCATTGGCTACCTCAAGAAGAAGCTCGCCGACGACGTGTCGACGGCTGACAACCTGTCCGCGCAGGTCCACGCAGCTTGTGATAAGGTTCAGTGCGCCGAGTCCGAGTTGTCCCAAGGCTGAGGAAGAGTACCAGGTGGTCGTTGCCGAGATCCACCCCCAGAAGGTGGACGACGCGGCGACAGCCGCCAGCCCTGGGCCCCCCGCAGCTGTCGCTAGAGGCTATCCTGGACGGCAAGCTCAGCTCCCTCGACGTGGACGCAGAGAAGTTGTTCGGCCTTGACATCTACATCGAGGCGTGCCCTCCCCTTATGCCGCCCTAAGAGACGTCCAAGAGCCCCCCAAAAAAGATCCCCCGAACCGGCCCCCAAGAGGCGACTGAACTATCCAAAGAGGCACCCAAGAGGCAACCGAAAAGACTTCGAGCGTTTCCCTCATCCTCCGCCCCCAATCCTTCCTCCGCTATTCGGGCTCTGGATCCGGGCATTGCCCATGCAGGTGCTCTTCTCCATCCGTGAAGCGTACATGGCAGGACGTTTCGGATACCGACGAGCCTACAGTTACCGCCCACAGATGAGAACGCAATCGCGGCAGCGCGGTCGTGTCTCGCAGTTGGGGGTGACCTGCAGACGAACTTTACGACGGCAGTACTTCTCAGATTGAAAGATGAAAGCATCCGACGCTCTCTTGGAACACATGTTGCTACACTACACCCTGGTACAGATGGGCGCGAAAACGCCCTGCGTGACGTGCTGCATGCCAGCGAAGCAGGAGCTGTCGGGAATCACCTGGCCAAACTTGGTTTTCCGCCTGGTAGGCCTGCTGGCAGATGCCGACGTTACTTGCTGAGTGCGCTGCCGACCTCTCCGACGGCGCCTGAGTTGGTATGGTTGGGCCTGCCCACTCACGTGAAAGGCAAGCGGGGCAGAGAGACAATCCGTTGGGCTCCTATGCATGAGCTGCTCAACCTAGAGGTAGAATCACTGGGCAAAAGCGTGGATCCTCGGGCTGAATCTGACGATTGGGGCCACTCTTTTGAGACGCACCCACGCCGCCACGTCGAAAGAGATAACCGAGACGTGTACCCGATCGCACTATACCCGGGCAGGGTGAGGTCCACTCGAACAGCGGGAGCTGGGCGCTCGGACGCCATGATTGCCATGACGTGCTGCAATCCTGGATGAGGTAAGTAAAAGCCACTACCTCGGATCCGTTGCGAAGAAGTTGCAATGCCAGTATGACTACCTACCAAACCACCCCAACCCAACCCGAAGACCCGAATTTCGGGTTGGGGGGGGTACGGGCTTCATGTGTGTTTTCTCAACGTTCCCCGACCCCCCCCAACTGGAAATGGAGGGCAAATTGGGGCCTTCGGGTTGGGTTGGGGTGGTTTGGTGGGCGGTGACAGTAGGGCTGCCGAGGACGGGGCACGACGCATCCTGCAACGCGTGCTCCTGCGTGGAGTTTCGAGGCCACGGCGATAGGATTTCGGAACAATAGGTTGCCAGATGGTTCGGAGTTGTCTGAAGGTTCTCCCTTGGCTGCTCTCAGCAGGAGCCCCTTCGTCGCACCGTTCTTGCTGGTGCAAGTGCAGGGGGATAGGGCAGAGTGGGCGCATGCGCTGGGGCTCGCGACCTACAACAGACCATGTGCATTCTGCGCCGTCAAGCAGGAGCAGCTGTTCGACTTCGATAAATTCCCCCCTGTCGGTTAATTGCTGGCCAGAGCTGGAGGCCGACCACGACGAAGCGACCTGTGCGGCCTGCGAACGAGTTCTGCGCGTCGACAATGAAGAAATCATACAGGCCGTGCGACAGGCCGTGTTCCAGACTGGAGGACTACACTTTGACGATCGGAAGCAGAAGACAAACCGCATCCTCCAATGGGGCGTGCCCAAGTGTACGCCGCCGCGACAAGCTAGAGCCGAGCATGGATATGTCTGACACGGCGGACTTCGAAGAGATGCCACTCCCGTCCACTGCAATCTTCTGGCGTCGAAGGCTGGACCACAAGGGGGTGGAACGTAGACTACGCGATGCGGGAGAACCCGCTGTTTCACAGGAGTGTGTGCGCAACTCCTCAGAGTGCCCTCCACATTGGCACACTCCACACCCTTCCCTATACCTCGGAGTGTTCCAGCGTTTCTGCTCCGAGGTGCTGTGGAGGGCGCTGGGCTCGAACATGTATGGCGCCACTGGAGGGGAGGATATTATCCGCGAGATGAACCTCAGGTTCGCACTCGCCGACTACAGGGTGTGGTGGCAACGGGAGGATGTGGAGTTGAGCTACAGGCTGGTCACGCTCACCATGGCCATGTTGGGAGCAGAACACATACGAAAGCTTAAGACAAAAGCTGCAAAAACATGGGTCCTCGTGCGATTGGCAACTACCTTCTGTGAGAAGCACCTCGGCAGGTTCGAGGGAGCTGACGTCCTGGGGGCAGCAGGGCAGGCGCTGCTGTCTTATACGGATCTGTTACGCCCACATGGTCGCAGGATTCCATGGGATGGGCGCCAGTCGTTGCTTGATCTTTGCTTGAGGCACATGTTTCTGCTGGGCCAGGTCGGGTCCCCCGAGACCCCGAAGAGCCATTTGTTTGCTCGCCTCACCCAGGGAATCCCCAACTGGGGGGACCCCAAATACGATTCTACATTGCTGGACGAGAGCCTCAACTTGACGATGGCTGTTATAGCGTCCGTGTGCCACAGACTCACGTGGGAAATATCGATGTTCGACTGCATGCGCCTCATACCGCATCTAGTCCGGAATGGTGCGTGGGTTGTGAGTTGAATTATTTGTATTATATACATCTATGAATATGTATGTACATGTGCGTACACGATTGTAGATTCATTACAAACAATCACCACCATCACGAGGGCATCACCATCTTCACATGTTTGAATGTATTCATGTCACATGTACTTGCACGTGGCTTATAGGTGGACTGGCTTGTGTGGCCACGGGCTCAGGGACCTACTCTCTGCCAGCTGTGGGCGTGCGCGTGTGTCGAGATTGTGCAAACGCACGGAAGCGCAACGAACATCGCAGATCGGCGTATGTTTGTGTTGTTGCACCGCTGTTCTCTCTGGAATGTTGCACGGCGCCATAGTTGCGGCAGTGTTCTCACTGCGCGCTTCAATTCTTGGGCATGTGCTAGAGCACTAAATCGCCGCATTATCGTAAGGGGCACGTGGGGGCCGGTCGGGTCTCAGCCTCGGGTTGTCGCGGGGGGTTGGTGGTGGCCCCGTTCCGGGCTCTTAAGGTCCAAGTGCCATCGGGTTCGTGGCCACGTCTTCCACGTGCTCCTTCCTTAATTGAGCATCGTCGCAAGCATCAGCATCAGCATCATCATCATCATCACCATCATCATCATCATCATCATCATCATCATCATCATCATCATCATCATCATCATCATCGGCATCGTCATTCCCATCATCATTAGTATCATCATCACCAGTATCATCATCACCAGCATCATCATCACCATCATCATAACAATCAGCCTCGTCAGCATACGCACCAATATCATCGTCAGCATTGTCGTGTGACTGGCAACATAAGGGTTACCAATACGAACACTATGGCTGCGGGGATGCAGGGGACTTGGAACAAACGGGATGAAAGCGGAGGAGAGCAGTTGAATCCGAATACTAAGAATCACAGAGGAGATAGTGGGAGGGGAATACATAGCGAGAGATGGGGCTAGGACGGGATGAAGCCATGATTGGGAGGCGACAGTGTAGAATGAGGAAGTCGGATGGGACGGATCCGCAAGGAGATGATAGACTCACGAGGGGGATGCGGGGGGATGAGGATGGACGATGAGGACGGGATGGGGGTGATGGATGGGGAGGATGTAGACGAGGAGAGATGAGATGGGAAGGGGCGGTCAGGAGTGGGCGGTAAGGCGGACGGGAGGGGGGGGTGGGAGAAGGAAGGATATGGGGAGGATCGAAGAGGGATACATGAGCCTAGGAGAGTGGGAGGAGAGGGAGAAAGAGAGAGAGAGAGAGACAGAGAGAGATGGAGAGAGAAAGAGAGAGAGAGAGAGACAGAGGGAGATAGAGAGAATGGGAGCGACAGAGAGAGGGAGATAAAGAGAAAGAGAGAGAAAGAGAGAGAGAGAGAGAACGAGAGAGAGAGAGAGAAAAAAAGATAGCGAGAGAGAGAGAGAGAGATAATACGAGATGAGGTAAACGAGGAGAAACAATGAGGCGTGAGGAGGGGTGTTATGAGGGAAGTGATGGGTAGTTGAACGAGTATGTGGAAGATTACGGGGACGGGCAGAGATACTATATATGAACAAAAGAAGAGACAGCAGGCGTAAACCAAAATGAGCCAGATCAGGTATGGGAGGATGCACGACTAGGGGAAATGATGAGGGACGAACAGGAGGGCACGTGGCATAGGCTCAGGGGGCAGGGAACTCGGAAGGATAACCAGCATTCTATACAATCAGATAAGCAATTCACCATCAGAATGGTAAGTTACGTGGCTGAGCCGATTGGGCTCCACCTGGCAGCTGCACGTTTGCCCGACACTTGACTTGTGAGTTTGCTTGCCGATCGGGTCTCCCTCCAGAGTCACCTGCCCCTTTCTTTCTGTTCACTCCCTTCGCCTTCCCCCTACCATGGCTCCTGGCTGGGCGGGCGAGCTCAGAAATGCCAGGTCCAAGTGCGCCGCCGATGCCTTCCAACGGCTTCCCTGGGAAAGCGACATCTGCATACACTCATTAGCCCAAAACATACCCGGACCCGGGGTCAGCTGGGGTGAAAAGGGCCGCCCGTTAGAGCGTTTTCGGCCTTGCCGCCACCTCGTCTGGGTACGGGTCGGTGCCCGAAACAACCATACATACCCGGACCTAGCTGGGGTGGTGGTTGGGTCACCCCGTCTAGGTACGGGTATGTATGGTGGTTTCGGGAGCCGACCCGGACCCAGGGGGGGTGATGCCCCGAGGGCCCTTTGCCACCCCGTCTGGGTAAGGGTACGGGTATCTTTCGCGCTCGAGAACACCTGCGGGGTTCGGCCAACTTTCCTTGGATCGGCGCTCGCCTCCCCGGCGGCACCCCTGGCGCTGCCCTTGGCGGGCCAGGCTCCGCGAGCCAGGGGGGTGTCCAGCTCCGACGCAGGAAACCTGCTGACTACCTACCAGACCACCCCAACCCAACCCGAAGACCCGCATTTCGGGTTGGGGGGGGGGGTAATGGTTCCACATGTGGTTTTTCGATGTTTCCCGACCCCCCCCCCACTGGAAATCGAGGGTAAATCTGAGCCTTCGGGTTGGGTTGGGGTGGTTTGGTGGGTGGTGACCTGCGCAGACCTCGAAACGTTCATACCAAGCTGTCGTTGTGCCTCATGCCTGCCAGACAGGTTTTGCGCAGGTTTGCGGCAGGTTCGCGGCAGGTTTGCGACGGGGGTTCCCGAGGGCAGGACTAAAGGCAGGTCTGCGGCAGAGCTCCCTCAGGGCCATGCTCGGAAGCAGGAAAAGATGAAGCCGAGGGAGAACAACAAGGAGGGGGGAAAGAGGGAGATGGAAAGGGGAGACGGGCAGGAAAAGGAATAAGACAAGAACACGATGCCTCGAAGGAACGCCGAAGTCCACGCGGGTGCCTGTACGAGGGCAGGGGTTTGGGGTGAAAGGAGGTAATTTGGGGGGGGGTCCCTCTCCCACCACTCACTGGTGGACGCTCGCGTTCCATGGCGCGCGTCCTTGCCTACTCCTCGCGGTGTGCCCTCCCTGCGAAATGACGTAAAAGAACGATGACGACAAATTCGTAAAAGAACAAAGAGCGATGGAGAGGTTTGTGCCAACGCCCTTCCTGCTCCTCTCCCCCTCTTCCAAGCCTCATCCTGTTCCTCCTCGACCGCCCTCCGTTGCCATTTTGGCCCGCGCCCCTTACAGGCCCGTAGGCCTCGCAATCTGCCCGCTCTGAAATTCAGGGCGGGTGGACACGTCAGCGGTGTCTATTGGGTCGTCTGTGGCTGGTTCTTGGGCCATCCTTGGGTCGTCTTGGACGCTTTTGCGACCGATGCGGTGAGAGTGTTGAGGTCACGCAGAAACATTGCTTTGCAAATTTGGGCCTCTTGGGTTGGCCCCCGGGATCCAGGACCTGCAGGACGGCCCGCGAGACTCTCAAGAGTGCCCCGGTTGGTCCGTGGCCGTCTTGGCTCAAGAGTTACGGAGTTGGATCACCGCGTGCGCATTCGCCAACATATGATTTCCACTCGAATGCCCACCCAACCTAACATGTCCACAATGTCCACTGCACGGCACTGGGTGGCAGCGTATTTCCACCCAGTGGCAACGCAAGCCCTCTGGGCTCGGGGACCTGCTGACCCGGGTCAATCCAGACCCGGGTCAGTCAGGCCTTGCAGAGTCCTGCAAGATCCTGCGAAATCCTGCACCCAAACCCGGGTCAATGCGAAGGATCCTGCAGGATCCTGCAGGATCCTGCACCCAAACCCGGGTCAATGCGACCCTGGCCCTGCAGGATCCTGCAAGGTCGGGGCGCTCTGGCTGACCCCCGTTTGCACTGACCCCCGTCTCGAGGCTCCCGATGGGCTGGGACCTGGGCTGGGACCGGGGCCAGAACTGGGGGCTGGGGCTCGGAGCCAGAGCCGGAGCCGGAGCACGGGCGGAGGCCGGCGGGGGCCACGGTTGGATCTGAGGCTGGCGCCGGGGTCTACACCCTGCGAAATGCTTAAGAAATCATGGGTTGAGAAATTCATAGTCTCAGAACTTGAATAAAAACCCAACATTTCCATTCAAATCTTAGGATTCACATTGAAACGTTAAGAATAATCGAGACTCTGGCCGAAAAATTAAGTTTTCTTAAGCATCGCCTAAGGTGTATAGGGCCGCGGCCCGGAGCCCAGGCTGGGGCTGGAATTCCCAAGCCCAACGACCCTCCAACGAGCCAACACGTCAGGGAACTACTTATAGCCCGCCAACAAGCTCAACAGACGGACACGACGAAAACATTTGATTACACACATAATGCCTTAGGCGACTGCCAACACCCACCTTCCCCTCCTCCTCTTCCTGCCTCTCGACCTCCTCCTCCATCCTCCTCCTCCTCCTCCTCCTCCTACTGTTCTCTCTGCTCCTCCCCCCTCATCCTCCCTCGAAGAAACAATTCACAAATTATACGAGTTCGCACGGAGCGTCCCAGAATGGCGGCACAGGCTGGAGGCCTCTACAATATACCGTGGCATTCGCAATCTCCTGCGGTTCTCACACGGTTTCGTCCACTTTGAGCGCGCGCGTGCAATGCTGTTTGCCGCAGGCTCACTGCGGTGCTCACGGGCATCTGGTGTCGCTCGCAGACTATGCTGGTACTCATCCGCCATTATGCTGTGCATGTTGCGGTGATACTGTGATGCTGTTCCGGATCTCCGAGGGCCTCCAGAGAGACTCCTAGCGATGTTCGACTCGACTGCGGGCATTGAATAAGCGTGCAGTTGTTATTTCCTTCGCGTTCCCAGCATGCTCCCACGCAACAAGCTGCTCAGCAGGGATGTGCAAGAATGTGGCAACATAACAAACGGACAGAAGGCATATGCGGCACGCGGCACAAAAACAACTCTGCTCTTGAAATGCCAGCCGCTGGGCCCGTCCAAAAGAGAGACATTCGCAAACCAGAAGCATACCGTACCCAATCTTCCCCAGTCCGGCTTCGCAGCCGCATCAAGTCATCCCGCCCGCTAGCAACGGCCCATCCCTCATTGGCGCACGAATTCGGCCTCAGCGGCCCTCGCATGCAACAGCGGTCCAAGATACTCCGTGCACTGTGCCACGCTCGCGTTGGCGAGAAGGGTTGACAAACTGACTGCGGAATGGAGCGCCACAAGGAGCACACACAACGGAAAGAGGCTTGTATATCAGATTGAGGGGGGCGAACGGTTTCAATCCCTGGGTGCGTGGATGAAGTGGGATTCCGTGACTCGGATTCTGCTCGCTGGGTGTTTGCTGAGCTCTCAATTGTAAAGAACAAGTATTGTTGATCCCCCCTCTGGTGCACCACCGTACCCCGAGGCACTGAGTAGAGTGTCTTCAGGTTCTCAAATTTCCTCACTTTCCAATATCGTGTATGAGCACAAGGAACCAGGAGCGAAACACCCAAATTACGGAGTTCGTGGTGGTTATCGCGTGTCTGCTGGGGCTTCTGGGATGTCGCGCTAAATGTTTTAAGATGCCACACGGCTCTAAGCCTGGCCCAACGAGGATCCCAAGACTGTCCAAGAGGCCACGACCAAACCGCGCTCGAAGACTCCCAATGTGCAATCTAGATGACCCGAGAAGCCTCCGAGACGCTCCAAGAGGGCACCAAGAGGACCCTCAGAGAAGCCGCAAGAGGGAACAACACTTTGGGCATCCGAAAAATGCTCGAGCGACTTTGCGTGCCCGCCTTCTCTGGTTTCCGACCGCCCAAGACGGCCCAGGAGGCCCACAAAGTCGCCCGATATCGGCCCAAGAGGCTCCAAAGAGGTCCCAAGACGGCCCAGGAGGCCACAAAGACGCCAGAAGAGGGGGAACACGAACAAACACCTCGAGACCTCCGCCCCAAGATGGCTCCCGAGACCGTCATTAGGCCCTCAGGAGGCCCCCCAGAGGCCCCCGGGAGGCCCCCGAGAGGCCCCCAAGAGTGCCCCAGAGGCCCCAAGAGGCCCCCGACACGTCTCCACGAGATATTCGAGAAGCCTCTCGAGAGGAACTCACTAATATGCATCCAAGCGGCCTCTGACCGACGACCAAGGCACGGTGGATGGACGGGCTGAAGGCCACTAGGTACATTCCTCCTTCCTGCGTGCGCATCTGCAGGGGTATCTGGGAAAGCCCGAGGCGCGGGTGCAACAATGCTCTGGCATCCATACTCTGCATCCTCCATGATCCCTACGATCTCGATGCCCCGCGCGATCAATGCCTGCAGGGCATGGCGACCGCCGCGACGCGCGGCGGCGGGCCCGCCCCTGGATGCGCAGCGGCGGGCAGCAAGAGGCGCGGCTGCACCATCGGTGACAGCTGGCCGCCCTGCAGCACGCGCCCAGCCGTGCCCGGAGAGGCCCCGGGAGGCGCCGGCAGAACGATGCGCACCTCTGGCGCCTGGGCGCGGGCCGCAGGGCAGACGGCGGGGGGCTGCGCCACCGCCGCGGGGCCGCCATGGCCCCGGCCCGGCGGCGGCAGCATCACAGAGCCCGCCCCGCTCAGGCCTGCGGGCGGGACGTGGAGCGACCCGCCCGACGAGCCGGGCACGGCAGAGGGCACGGCGGGCGCAGCCCCGCCGGCCGCGGCGATGGTCCCGGCCGTGTGCAGGCGAGGGGAGGACTGCGTGTGGTGCGTGACGCTCACGGTCACGCGGGGCGGCGTTGCGGACGGCAGGAGGTAGGTGGCACCCAGCTGGATGGTCTCCGCCGGCATCCGGGCGAGGAACACGCCCGGGGGCAGCGGACCCTCGGCGGGCAGCACCATCGCTGGCGGGGGGGTGTACGAGGGCCTCTGCTCCAGGAGAGCCTGCGGCGGCGGCGTGTAGGAGAGCCGCTGCTCCTGGACAAGAGCCGTCGGTGGCGGCGCGTAGCCAGGCGCCTGCGGCGCAGGCGTACACGAGGCCCGCTGATCCTGCCGCATCACCAGCGGCGGGGGCGTGAAAGAGGGCACCTTCGGCACGGCCGCGACGGGGCCTGCTGGCAGGAGCACCGTGGAGAGCTTCACCGGTCTCTGCACGGCCTGGTGCTCCAGCACAGGAGTGACCCGGGGCAGCGTGGCCATGCGCGGCGTGTCGCGGCCAGAGGCATACATCCTAGCGAACGGCTCGACGTACGTGCGCGGCCCCTGGGGGAACAAAAAGACATCGATACCGCCTCTCCACGGACATCTCCCAGGGTGCGTTTCGGAAAATCGAGATAGCGTGCGTTGTGACCAGGATTTGGGGCGAACCTAACTGTGGCGACGAGACGGGCAGCGGCATCTTAACACACTCATCGCCTCCTCCTCCGAGCCCCCGCGCACATCGCCCGCCTCCCGCGCGGCACTGGCCGGCTCGGGCTCTGGACTCCTCGCCGGATCTGCCATGCAGCGCCAAACCTTGCTGACCGGGTCCTGCTCCAAGGACATCACGCTGCCAGGCCCCACGCCCTCGGGCACGGTCAGCCGGAGCTCCTGGCCGTCCGGCGCGTCGTACAGCAGCTTCGTGCCGGTCGTGGCTCCCTCGGGCACGACCATGGAGATCATCCCGAAGATTCGCACGGGCTCCTCCTCGACGTCATGTGCCTCCATCGGGGGGGACGTCACGGGGCAAATAGGATGCGCGCGCCCAGATTCAGGTGTGCACGATAATTAGTCAAGGCCCCCCCCCGTTCTGGGCCAGAGCCAAAACGGCTACGGAGGGGTCCAGACGGACGCAGGGAGGGTGAAGTGGTTGCAATGTCGACGTCCGAATCGTTGTAATATCGACAATCACAGGACAACCATCGGCACAACCACCAGACGACCATCAGGACAATCACAAGACAACCATCGCATACTAGGTAATATCTGTCTCTCTCTCTCTCTCTCGCTCTCTCTCTCTCTCTCTCTCTCTCTCTCTCTCTACATATATATATATACATATATATATATATATATATATATATATATCAGCCTTCCCCTCAACCACAATGATGGCGGTGACGTTGGGTTGGATGGATTAGATGGATTGGGTGGGATATGATAAGATGGAACACTATGGGTTGGATAAGATAAGATGAATTGGATTTGTCAAAATGGATTGGATAATTTAAGCTGGATTGGGTAAGAAAGCCCGCCGCAGGCGCCGACAAAAATGAATTGATGGATTGGGTTGGGTGGATTGGATTGGATGGGATCAGATGGATTGGATAAGATAAGATGGGTTGGATTGGAAGAAATGGATTGGATAAGATGAGATAAGATGGATTGGATTGACCCGCCGCAGGCGCATAATCAAATGAATTGATGGATCGGGTTGGGTGAATTGGATTGGGTGAGATAAGATAAGATGGGACAATATGGGTTGGATAAGATAAGATGGATTGGATTGGATAAGATGGATTAGATCATATAAGCTGGATTGGATAAGAAAGCCCGCCGCAGACGCCGAAACAAATTAATTATGATATTAGCGACATGCGTTAGCGCCGGGACGCCCAGGACACCCGTGACACCCGGGGCACCGCCCGGCCCAACTGGGACACCTCCCGGCCACCGGCGGACGGGAAACAGACTTTCGCTCCTACTGACACCCGGGACACCCGGGACACCGCCCGGCCCAACTGGGACACCTCCCAGCCACAGGCGGACGGGAACGGACTTTCGCTCCTACTTCAGCCTAACTACAGGAGGATCACGCGCAGCTTCGCCTCGCCCGCACGCACGACACGAACACGAAACCGAAACCGACTTCCCCGCGGGGGGTCTCCGTTTCACTGCGATCTGACCCCCCAACCTCCGATATAAGCTCGGGGCTGCGAGCGTTAGCAATCGATGGCTTCCCTCATTGGCGAACTCTGCGCTCCTTGCGCATGTGCCACCACATTGAAGCAGTCGATGCCTTCCCTGGCCTTCCCTCGTTGTGTGGGAGCGCGCTCGCAAACTCTACACTCCTTGTGCATATGCTAGCAGAGATGGGGGAGCAGGACCGGAGATTAAGCGGCGCCGTGCGGACACGCAGCTGAACGCCCGACGCGGGGCAGGCGTTGTATGACACCTGGAGCAGGTGATGGCCACCAGCGAGCATGACGGGATGAGCGGCGAGGTGGAAGGAGGGGGAGGATGCGGGAGAACATACAGAAGCTAGGAGGGGACACAGTGATTTAGAGGCGGAGGAGAAGAAGGCGGAGGAAGAAGGACAGGCATCGCGCTCAGTGCACGCCCACTTGCAGGTACGCTCGCTCCCACCGCTTTGGGCGCCCGAGTTATCCGGGGTAACTCGGGTCCGGGGTAACTCGGGTTTGGATTCCCGGAAAAGGAACCCGAGTTAGCCCTGACCCGAGTTATCCCTGATGATTCGGGGCTCTGGACGCCCGAAATATCCGGGGTAACTCGGGTCCGGGGTAACTCGGGTTTGGATTCCCGAAAAAGGATCCCCGAGTTATCCCTGACCCGAGTTACCCCTGATGATTCGGGGCTCTGAAGGCTGGTCTTCTCGCCCCTCACTCTCCACATCGGCTTCGACTTCCGACTCTCCGGCCGCGCGACCGTCCGACCGACCGGGGAGAGTAAAAGCGAGGACAAGGAGGAGGGCGAGGATGCCTCGCTCTGGCGACGGGAAGACGTCTCGATTTGTCCTGGCCGTCAGACGCCCCGGAGGAGAAGGCAGCAGGAGATGAGTACCGTTTAACCGATCCCCATCCCCAGCGGCGTGGCCTGGGCCCCACTGGCCGATTTACCCCCCTAGATGGGGATATAGGTCGTTCTCTTCGGGTTTCTAGGGGTGTATCCCCATCTGGGGTGGTAATTTGGTGGGGGTCTTGAAGGCGTTGAAGATGGGGATGGGGATAGGATAAACGATACCGAGGAGAGGAGCTCCTCTGCCGCAAGGGCGGCGGCTGCCGCCACCACCAACGTCGCAGCCGTCGTCGCCTGCGTCGCCGTCTCCGTCGCCCGTAGTCGCCGTCTTCGCCGGCATCGTCGTCGTCATCGTCGTCGTCGTCGCGAAAGTCGGCGTCGACGCCTTCGTTGTCGGCGGCTACCGCTGTCGTCGTCGTTCACCTCTGCCGCCAGCCGTCGGCGACGGCGCAGGCGCAGACGATGGCTGCGGCTGCGACTGCGGCGGCGACTGCCGCTGGGGAGGTGGCCCGCTCCAGCCCGCCGCCGCGGCCGCCAGGCGCGCGGATCATGCCGGGCGCCGGGAGTTCATAACGATCACGACAACGAATCTGCCATCCCTCCCTCCCTCGTCTCTCCACCCCTGCTGCGGCCACCCCCTCTGCGCTCTGCTGCCGCGTGGCCCGGGGCGCAGGCAGGCGCGGGGCGAGGGCCCGCGCGGCCGCCAGCTCTGGGCGGGGTGCGCGGCCCAGGAAGCGCCCTGGATGGCCGCTCGACCGATCGAACGGTTTCGGATGAAATGATTTGCCTCCTCTCCAGGGGCGGCCCCATTAAGACAAGGGGGCGGACATAATTTAGAGGGCGGGTCGGGGAAGGGGAAGACGATAGGGAAACGAACTCTATGCATCGACGTGTTTTCGGACCCTGCGCTGGAGTTCGCACAGGATCGCGGATCCTGGTGTATACGGGATCATGGTGCATACATGTTTCGTTGTTTCCATTGGACAACGGGAAAATATATACACCACACCACCCCGACGTCGCCCCCGACCCTTACAAAATCCTGGGGTTGAAAAGCCGCCCGCCATTGATATTCCAGTTTCCGAGACGACCGACAAAAGCGACGGTCCCCGCCGAGGCCCAGGCGCAGCGCCAGGGGCCCCAAGCCGAAAGATGGCCCAGAGATTTGTAGACTGCATGGCTCCCCTTGCAGAAGGGGTCGGCGCATGCATCCCCTCGCGGAAGGGTCGCGCAACGGCGGCCGCCCCTGCCAGGGGAGGGCGCGGGCCGACGAGGGGGCGTCGACGAGTTCTCGAGAAGGCGCTCTGCGGGTGGGCGCTGCGACGGCGACGGCGATAGAAATAACGAGGGCGAGGGTGGATGCGATGATGCAATGTTGCGTTTGTTCCACGCGTCGTTCAAGTATGAAGGGGCCCCAGGACACACAAATAAACACACACAAATAAAACTATTCCCCATATTTTCCCATATTTTCTGGGTTTCTGTCTTCCCCCCATTTCCCATATTTTCCCCATATTTTCTGGGGAATCGAGGATTAATTGTGTCTGTGTGTTTCTCTTCCTCCTGAAAGTAGGCGCTCAGCCTCTGCCGTCGCCGCATCGTTGGTGTCAACCGCGATTCCTATGCGAATGGCGTTCCTGACTTCCTCGCCGATCTCCATGAGCGCTGCTCATCCGTGATGCGATGGCACCTCTACCCTCCGAAATTCACCGACCATTTCTTCTCGCCGCGCGCCCGCCTCAATCCAATCGCGCGGCCCCATCCGGCAATGCAGCGCGCCGCGCCTTCGGCCATGGTGGCCTGCGGGGTGGGGGGGGGGGGGCGGCTTCGGCGTGATGTTCCGCGCCCGCGGGGCGATCTGGCCCCCCCCTGCTCTGCCCTTCCTCTCTCCTCGCCCGCGTCCTTTTCCGCCTGCGAACTCTTCGCGGCGGTTGCTACTGCGGGTGTCTTTCAGTCTGCAGACGCACCCCCCCGTGCACCGCGCCCGGCTGACCCCCCTTCTTGCGCGCCTTCGCTGTCGCCTTCGCGGCTAGCCCTGTTTCCTGCGCCGCAAGGGGGGCGTCGGGCCACCTCGTCTTCTCCGCCCTGCCGTCGGGGAGCGCCGCATTCACGAAGCCTTCGCCGCCGAGCGCGTCGGCTCGGAGATGAAATCGAAAAACGTGGTCGGAGGGCCCTTGTTTGGGCCTCGCAACTACCCCTCCAGCAGGGGTTCCATTGCATTGTTGTGCTCACACAGAGAACCATTTGGAAAAAGGCTGCACCTGTCGCCGCTTGCCCCGCCACCACCTTTCCTCCTACATTGCCGCCCCCCCCCCCCTCCTCCGCTCCCCCGCCCGCCCCTTTCCCTGCGCTTGATCCCCTTCGCGGCGGGGCGGCCATCGGCATCGCTCCCCATCGCCTCCTGCGACGAAAACGCCGCCAGCGGGCTCGCGGCAACCTGTTTTTGCATACGCTGCCTCGGAAGCCGCGGCACATCTGGGGGGCGACGCCAGCATGTCTGCGATTGCTGTACTCGTCGGAGCTGCCGTCGACATCGTCGCGCTTGCCCTTCGACGCCCCTGCGCTCGGGCTGGCCCTGCCCAGCTTAAGCCTCGTCGTGCCCCCCAGCATATTCGCGCGCGCCTCCAACTTGGCCCCCGCTTGGCGACGTAGAACACGCTGCGCACGCGGCTCAGCGCAGTGGGCATCTCCGGGCAGAAACGACTACATTCCTCCTGGTGCACAATCGGTTTTTGCTTCACCGCGAGACCCAGGAGATTCTTTTATCTGACGCGCGTGGCGAGCTGCGCGAGCGGCGACAGAAAAGGCACGCTACTCTTCGTGAAGTCAGCGATGCCCCCTTGCGCGTGGCATTGCTCGATCAGCTGACTGTGCTGTTTCACTAGTGGATTAAGTTGCTCAACAGCGCGCAAGAAGCGCGCGCCCTCGCCTCTCCGTGGCCCTCGGCCACGTTGCTGCGGACCCCCGCGCGGGACGCGCGCACCGGCGCGACCCCCTGCTCGAGCCAGAGCAGCTGGAAGACGTAGAGAGAGAGAGAGAGAGAGAGAGCAACCCCTTCACTCAGGGGATCCATGACGAAGAAAGAAACGACCTGATCAAAATCCATGGTCAGCACTATTCTGAAACCCAAAGAAAATGCCATATCGTAATTTAGTTCAACTCCGCATGGTAGATCGACGCTGGAATCTCATGGCGGGTCTCCCTGACCTGCTCCGCCAAATCGGTCGCCGCCTCCCGGAAGACGCCGTGCCCCCCCCTCGGGAGGCGCCCGGAAGGTCCGACGGTATTGTGGGCCATTCGACCGCGCCTCCTCTGACAATTCCTCCTGCGCTGGCGCGTCTTCGTAAGAGGCGCGCCAGAGGAGCCATCAAGAGAGGCGCGGGGGCGAAGGGGTGGAGGAACAAATAAAGAGAGCTGAGGATTTCTGGACGTGGACCAGTGGCCCAGCAGAAAACACACGCCTCCGCCCCGGCCGAGCGCCGAGCGGGTCAACTGCTGGGGCGGCGGCAGCCGCGAATGGTAGGACCGTGTCGCGCGCTGCACCGGAGCCACCACACGTGCGCGCGGGCCCTTGCGGCAGTCGACGAGGCCCTCATGTCCCCGCCTCCCAGCCGCGTCCATTTTCCCCAGCGCCTTCAGCTTAGAAAGCCGCGTACTTGGGCAGAAAGGCGGGCGGGGTTGACCCGGTTGATGGGCTGAGAGGGCAAGGGCCCGGAGGGGGGGGCGAGGGAAGCAGGGGGGAGAGGACGGGAGTGGAAACCTCGCTGAGGTTCATCGCTGAAGCGGTGGCCAGCGGGAGGCCGTCCCGCAGCGGCTCCTCTAGCATTCTGGGCCGCGGAAGGCCGGGGGCCAGTCTCGACCAGTGACCAGTCAGGGCGCGGCGCTCGGAGACCATCCCAAAACCTCCCATTCTCTCCCTCCTCCATGTCGCCATTGCCCTGGCCGTCCGCTCCGCCCCCCGCCGTCCACCATCTCCCACCTCGTACTCTTTTCCGACTGCGCCGCCCCCAAACCAAGCGAGAGTTGGCCCCCAGCGCCAGCGGCGCTGAGGGGTGAGCCACAACGGCGGCCCCAGCGGGGAGTTGAGGGAGGAGGCGGATGAGGGGCCGCATTTGGCCGCACCTGATCCCATCACCCTTTTTTCCTCGCTTCCCCTCTCAACAATTTGAGCGGGGGCGAACGCGAACGCACCCGCGGAAGCCGCCGGGGCCGCAGAGTCCCACGAAACGTGTGTGCCGAAATAGGCGGGGGAAGCCCGCGAAGCCACCTCCTGGGGCCGAATGTGGGGCCACCTTATGGGGCACGGAACATGTGAGGGAGCTTGGCGAATAAGCAGAGCACGCATGCATGCGGGGTCCTACCGTCCAAGAACGGCAAAATCTGCGCGCGCCTGTTCAATATAATCGTACGTTTACCAAACACGGAACGCGCCCTGCTCTTTCAAATCACACCCGAAACGATGGCACTGACAAGCTGCAGGGAATAATCAAACTCCTCCCAAATGTGCGCATTCTTCAAGGTATGTCGACGCATGTTACATCTGCGTGTCCGCGCTTCTCATATCCTAAAACAGCGAGTGCGCGATCCAGCAGCGGCAATCCTATATATCACATGCGATCATCCCACGAGAAGGATCCCCCCACTTGTTCGCATAAGCCGCGGGCGCCATCCAAAAACGAGAACGCGAAGGTACATCATCGATCACATTGAAACGACAAGGAAGACAAACTTCGATGCGCAACCAGGCATATTCGGGGCGCAACTCATCGTTGGAGCAAGCGCTACGATAACAACCAACATCCAAGGCACACGCCGCCGTTCGTGTTAACAAAAACCGCTGTCCTAGCTCATGCAGATGGGAAGAGCCAACAACAACCGGGGCGCACGAATCCGCCCCCCCACTCACGAATGACGAAACCACGCCAAAAACCATGCGAGTGTGAAGAGGCGCCGAGGTTGAGACATATAGCAATTCTAGTGTGGCCCTTTCGACAGGAAAGGCGCAGTCCTGACGACATGGGGCCCGCGGATGGGCGGAGTGGAGGATATTCATGTGTTTGGTTGTTCGTGTCTCTCTCTCTCTCTCTCTCCCTCACTCTCTCTCTCTCACACTATGTGTCTTCCTTCTCATTGTGCCAAGGGGGGGTCCCCGTTCGCTGCCCCCCCTGCCTTCCAGCGTGGCGACGCTTGGCCACAGGGGGCGGCGGGAGCGGGCTGTCAGGCTCAAAAAACGGCGCGGGCCAGAACGGCCTGGCGGCGAGGCGGCGGCACCGAGGGGAGCTCGCACCTGCAGTGTGGAGAAAAAGCGCGGGGTGCTGTCGGCTCTCCGCTCACGGCGTCCTCGACGCTCGTTGACTCCACTGTGCGTTGGCACTGATGGTGTCTTCCTTTGTTTTTCGGCGCCACCCTCCTTTCCCGAAGGCGACGATGTTCTGCGCCGAGGCCTGCTGTAGGGCAACGTGCCGCCTGCAATGCGGGCCTGTACGCCCTTCAATCAGCAGGTGTGGCTCGACCACACTCCCCGTTCTTTTCCGCGAGTGTATCTGCAAGA